AATAAAAATACAATTGTTTAGAACGGAGCAAAAAATGGCTCACATAAGTGATGGCACACTACGTACTATGCAACAAAAAAAAAATCGTCTGAAGTGAGCAATAAAAAATATCTTTTGGGGTACTTATTTTTACTCAAAAGCAATTGGCAATAATTTATAAAATCGTCTGCAGTATTTCTCTCCAGTTTGTTTTGGAAGTTTTGTGTTTTTTAGCTCTGTGCAGCCATGAATGCTAAACGAAAAGAAACTTTGCCTGAAATTCGAAAATTAGTTATTAATTTGCATATTGAACGTGGAAAATCTATTAGAGAAACAGCTGAAACAGTTAACTTGAGTCCTTCAACAGTTTTCAATATCATTAAACGATATAAAAAGAATTATATGATACAGGATAAAAGAAGACCTGGCCGACCATCAAAACTATCCAATGGAATAAAGCGAATTATCGTTCGAAATATTAAAAAAAATCCAAGAATGAGTGCTCCTAAAATTGCTGCTGATTTACAAGCTTTATATGGAGTAATTGTTAATCCTGAGAATATTATAAAAGTAATTCGATTTGCTGGATATCACGGTAGAGCAGCCAGGAAAAAATTCTTCGTAAGTGAAAAGAATAGAAAACTCAGACTGGCTTTCGCAAAATACAGCATAAATAAGAATTCTGATTACTGGAATGAAGTTATATTTGCTGATGAGAGTAAATTTAATATATTTGGTTCTGACGGTAGAATCTTGGTGTGGAGAAAACCCAGGGAAGAATTTCGCAAACAGAACTTTATGCCAACAGTAAAACATGGTGGAGGAGGAGTTATGGTATGGGGGTGTATGTGTCGTCCGCTGGAGTTGGTAATCTTGTTTTTATTGACAGTATAATAGATCAGTACAAGTATATTGACATTTTAAAATTTTAAATCAAATTTGAAATCTTCAGCACGAAAATTGAACTTTCATAACAATTTTAAATTCTACCAGGACAATGACCCTAACCCTAAGCACACTGCTTTGAACGTTAGACTCTGGCTGCTGTATAACTGTCCTGAAATAATAAAAACACCACCACAATCTCCAGACTTAAATCCCATAGAGAATATTTGGCGAGAATTGGAATCAAGAATTCGCAAACACACCATTCTTCAAAACAACAATTAAAATCGGTTTGCTTCAAGAAGAATGGGGTAAAATCACTCCAGAAATCACAAAAAAATTAGTGGAATCCATCCATCCCAAGAAGAAGATTAAATCATGTTTTAAAAGGAAAAGGAAATCCAACAAAAATATTTTATACCTTTTAAAAAGTAAAATTTTCGGATAAATATTTGATGGAAAAGTAAGTGTCCCATCACTTATGTGTGCCATTTTTGCTCCGTTCTAAACAATTGCATTTTTATTAAATTAATATTTTAATATTTTGAGAAAATGTATGTTATGTAATAATTGTTGCTAAATTTAAGTATGAAACACACCCACAAAAAATTTTTATTGTTTTTTAGATTTATTTTACTACAGTTTCCTTTTGTAAAGCATAAGTGTCGTCCCATCACTTTTTTGAGACACTGTACATAACCATTGAACTTCCATTAATTCAGTCTCTAGAGGGTTGTATGTTTATATATCATAATTTGACTTTTATAAAAATGATTATTCTAAATCTTATGTTTCTATAAAATATATACTGTGCTATACTTGCTTTAAAAAAAAAAATATGGATTAAGTATCAGCCGCTCTTTCAGCCACTTCAAAAGCAACAATTTTGTTTAGAAATAAAATTATGCAGTAGTAATGTCATAAAATTCAAATAAACATCAAACGAAAATTCTCAGTTTTAGACAATTCGATTTTAAACAAAATAAAGTAGCAGACGATTATAAAACGTGAAGGTAAAAATTTACTCTTATTTCTTTTTAAAAAAAAAAAAAAAGATAGATAGAGAAAAATTTAAAAAATAGTTAAAAAAAAATTTGAATAATATCATCTATAATTAAAAAAAAATAGCTTTTCATATAGAATTAATAAATATTTATTACGCATCATTGAAGGAAAACCTGTCATATAAAATTAATTCTCCGTAAAAATTTTACTTGAAATTTAAAGAAGGTTAAAAAAAAAATAGCTGTGGCAATTCACTGTAACAAAAATCCATAGACAAACATTTGGCGTTATTATCGCTTAAAAAAAAGATGCCAAATTTCAAAACGCGAAAATATGTAAATTCGTGTATATCTTAGAAAATTTTGAATAAAAAAGTCTAATTTTTTGGATATGCTTAAAAATACACTTACTTTAAGATGATGGTAAAAATTTTATAGGTTATAATTCAAAATGTTTTTCGAAAAATTTATAAAAATTATTTAAAAATAGAAATTAAAAAAATAAAACACAAAAAATGGGTAAATTTTATTTGGAACGAACCTAAATTTCGAAATGTGAGAGAAAAAATCAAAAAAGTTTAATAAAAAAAAAGATATTAATAAGTATTTGCCAAATTCAATTAACATTGAGGAGCTAAAATTTTGAGAGCTAATATTTTAAAAACTACTCGTACGATTTTTACAAAACTTGGTATTCTGGCATAATTTGAGTCGTAGAATCGAAATATGGAAAAAAAAGTGGTATGTTATTTCAGAAAAAGTCCGATTTTGTGTCAAAATACCTATGTTAGAATAGTGCTATATATAAATCTAATATATATCCTAAGTCGCGCTTTCGAGACATGAAAAACGCAGTTTGAATTTTGTCAATCGGCCTAGTAAAACGGAAAATATAGCACTGTCCTCTTTTTTTTTTTTTTTTTTTTTTTTTTTTTTTTGGAGCAGTGTACTTTTTTAATACTGTTTAATGTTAAAATTAAGTCATGGCAAGTACACGCCAGCGGAAGAACTGGAAATAAGGATGTTTGAAGCTATTAAGCGGTTCAAATTATTATTATTAGTGATAAAATAAACTCCCTACACGTGTAAAAATTCTGAAATCCGGCAGGAAAGATATCTGTAATCCGAGAACTTTGTTTTGCAAAAAGGTTCAATTTTGAACATTCAGTATTTTTGGAGGTAAAGTGTGTGTGTATATATATATATAATTTATTATTAGAAAACTTTTTCATATATCATCTTCAAGGAACAGAAATTCAATTAAGACTATTAATTATTATAATAAGAAAAAAAAATTAATCAGTATATTAATTATATATATATATATAGTAACACAAAATGTTTTATTTCAAAATTAAATTATTTCAAGATTTTATTTCCGCTCAATATGCTGCTGAAAATTAATCAGTATAGACAAAAAGTAAGAAATTTAGAACCAATTTCACAAAGACCCAAAAGCAGTAAAATTCGATACCATTAAATTTCAAAATACTTTATAAATATGTAAAATAAGAATTCAAGAAATGTGAAACACTAAAACGTCAATAAGTACAAAATCCAGAAAAAATACAAAAGAAGAACAACCCAGTCAAATCTGATATAACGTTATCAAGAAGAGGATACATCAGATTCCATTGTATCCCTCTTCCATTTGAAAACCACTATACGTGACTTCTCTTATCGAATTCCACTAATCTCTTATCGAAAATTAGCTGTTGAACCATTTCACAGAATTAAATTATAACAGTTCACCAAAAAATTCTGAGATCCTCCCCGACGCAGCGGATGTAAAAATTCTTAGTCCAATAAAGCAATTGAAATTACTTAAACTCTTTTAATTGAAATTAGAATTGAAATTGATACTTTAATTGAAAGGAGAATTGAAATAACACAAAACTTACTCATTGTTTCCAGAATGAATCCATTAGAGACATGTACTAATACCTCATATGAAAAAATTACAGTGTTAAGACTTAAAGTACATACACATTTTCACAAAATGCAAGATTAAATTGAAAAAATGAAATAGAAAAAGTAGAAATACAACACTTTCAAGAAAAAATAGAGAACTTTTTAACCAACTACAAATTTCGAAATGAATATCAGTAGCGAAAACGTTAAATTAAAAGAGGACCCCTAGTTTGCTAGTTTGGTATCATTGACGAAACAGATTGGAGATAGTAAAGAAGAAATCTCCAAAATGGTGATTTAAATGTTTGCAAGAAACTAAAAACTTTTTTAAAAGAGGGAGTAAGCAAAAAACATGGTTAGAAAAGTAAAACGTATTCATGTCATGGGCTTATCATGACGACTACTCATCTACAAACCGACACAAACCGAAACATTCACCGACCCATTTACAGATTAGAAAGTCCTTGATCTGATTCCATCATCCATTCCTAAATGGGACCATTTGCCTTGATTCCTTTATTTTTTTCTTTTTCATTATAGGGCTCCCAAAAGGTTAAGATTGCTAAATACTGGTAGTTCGCCATGGTTTGGGTTCCATACCAGGCTACATGATTGGTTTTCGTGGTTTTCCCCATGTGTAACGTGAATACGAGCCAGTTTCCCTTAGAAAGTCTTCCACGAAGGCATCCCTCCTCTTACGCAGATATCCCTCGTGGCTTTGTGATATTCAAATAACCTAACCTTGTAGAAACATTAGGATTTTTTGGAAGCAGAAGAGATGAAAAATGAGCAATCGCTTTCGCCGGGAATCGAACCACTGACCTCTGGAATACCAGCCCAGCGTGCAGAACCACTACACCACGAAGGCACGCTAAGAAGGTGGGAGAAATACCTTATAACCTAACCTTTCATTATAGATAGCGTCGTTGTTAGATAAGGTTTAAGTTCTACAAAATTCTTTGATCTTGTCTTCTGCTTGCGATGTTTTTACTTAATTTAGTTGGAGAAAGCGATAATGTTGAATAACCAAAATTATTTCTGTTATAAAATCTGCATCAAATAACGCTGTTTTTCTGCACTCAGTAGATTTCGATGATGCTGCCTGCTTAAATTTTACGTCGCTGTTACTCCATAATGAGCTATCCTGTGTTGCTATAGCTTGATATCACTGTAACTATTTATTATGCTGCAAATCTGAAACATTTTTTACTCTGTTTTTAGGTGGTAGATGCTAAAGTAGGCAAGAGATGCAAGGGTTTCAGCGACTGCGATGAAGGTGAATGCTGTGTAACCCCTGGCATTATGAGCAGCAGATGCAAAAAGCTCTCAGATAAAGGTTTGATCGTTTTTTGAGATTAAATGTATCTTTATAACATGATTTGAGATGCTCATATTTTTGCAAAAGAAAATTGTTGCAACTAATCAAATTCGTTTTCCGTGTAATAGAAGTGAACACTATAAAGCATGCAATCTTATTTTTCCCTGGTTATTATCATTCTCCCTCAATAGATATCTTCTGCAACCATGATGATTCTTGAGTTACTGTGATTAAAGCGTATCGGAAGTGATTCCTTAAAACACAAGATTTCAATTTATGTTTCAATACTTATTGCATACTTTTCAAAGAATCTGCACAAATACAATGCGACTGTCATCGCTTTTCTCAACTCTCCAAATATATGTATTTCCTTATTGCTTTCGAGAAATTTCTTTAAGGTTCCCAACAAATTTTCTTTTGTTGCATCAATAGATACGAAACAGGAATTTTAACCGTGGAAAGAAATAAAATTTACACAGTTCCATATTGGATAACTACAGAGCTTGCGGAATGATATTTTTTGAAATTTTGGCTAATAGTTACTGAATGGCGATAACATTGTGACCAGGCTCTTTATCACAGTGGAAATATCTATGACTTATCTTGCAATAATTCTACAAGCTGCGTCGAGGAAACACAGCAAAACAGTCAAATATAACTTAAAACTTAATGGACTTCGCCATTTGGACAAATAAACTTAATGGAAAACAAAACTTCCACAATAACCAGGATATCAAAAACAGCAAATTAAAATGGTAAATTTGGCTAAATTCCGTAAAGATTCCGTAAAGATAGCCACCCAAATGGCTAAATTCTTTACGGAATTTAACCATTTGGGTGAAATTTATGATAATACCACGACAATCGAGCGGACAGCAATATTTGATTTTTGACATGATATTTTCTGACTTGTTTCCTATTTTGAGCTCCATTCACTTGATTATTGAGCTCTTTTTGTATTAGAAGCTTGGCTCCAACTTCTTTCATTAGCTTTAACATGTTTAAGTAATTAAGACAAGTTAAGTAATTAAGTTTAAGTAAGTTTTGTTTCTAAAGACATATGATGGTCACATGAATACACTATCATTTGGGAAAAAATTCAGAGTTTTTTAGAATAACATGCGTAGCGACCCTCCACAAATCCAAATGATCTTTCAAAACTGCCTGAAGGAACTTGCTCGATAGTACCAGCAACTGTCAAACAACGATCGTTTAGCGCCAGATTTCTGACTTGAACACGTGTTGCTTATTAAAGGAAATGGACTCCCTACCAGAGCATGGTTCATATTCGACGTATTCTCTGGCTTCCTCAAGCAACTTGTATCACTCAAAAACTCGTATGTTCGATCAAGCTGTGATTCTCAAAGGTATTTTGCAACAAATTTGCTGCGGGAGTTTAATTGTAGAAATTTAAAGCTCGTTTCCAAAAAGGAGAATTACATTTCTCCTTTTTGGAAATTGCCAAGGGAAAAATTCTTTATTCATTGAAATAAATTTATTCGCAAACGACAAAAAGAAATAATAAAATAAAATAAATAAAATAAATAATAAAAAATAAAATAAAAAAACCGGATTGTTGCCAGATATAGACAGAAGTCGTAACAATTTGCAATTTCTCGACAAATTTTGAAAACGATTTCTTACACGTTCATATTTTAAAAGAATTATTCCCAATATTTTTTTATCACAATAGTGGTTCGAGCACTTCTTATAAAGCTCTAAATTTTTTCCAGGAAACATTTGAATCTCGTTTTTGAAGGATTATTTTTAATTTGCTGTTTTTGATATCCTGGTTATTGTGGAAGTTTTGCTGCAAGGAAATGTTACATTTACTTGAACAGGAAATAAGTGGATGCGGATAAGGGCTTCAGGAGGATGAGCAAAAGTTTCAGACCATTAAGTTTTTGTTGAATCATACTTACGGTATGGGATTTAGTGCTATTCTGTTGAAGAACGGCATTAGATCTGTTTACCTGTGCACACTGTTTGATGATTACACTTTGCTTTACCCGCTGCAGGTGGCATAAATAATTATTAGGCGAAACTCTTACCTCGTTCGCGACAAGTTAAAAAACGAAAGGTACAACAATAGATGCCTGAATTAAACGGCTGATCATTTTCTAACGGTACAAAACAAACTATACCTTCCATGTCCAGTCGTATGGAAAGGGACAGAATAAAGTCGACAGAGGATCAAGATTTACAGGTATTGCTCCGTCGCGATATTGTACTAGAGCAGCATCCACCACGAGGCACAGAGAGCTCCCCCCTCCTCACAGCAACAGACCGTGCGAGAAATCCACCTCACAGGGTGCTCATCTTCTCACCTTTCTCCAAGGAGGTTAGAATAGACCTCCTATAGAAGGTTAGAATAGACTATTCTAACCTCCTTGCCTTTCTCCCACTAGAGGGTACCTCAGTGTTGCCGATCACAACCAAGAACCCTGCATTTATTGGTATCTCAATGTATTATATAGCATACGATATACATATTATACATAATACATACTGCATTATATAATTATACATTATAGAAATTTCAAGCTTTGCTTCAAATTTTACGCAAATAAGTATAGATTATTTCGCTGACACAGATCATTTTATTCGTTGGCTTTCAACTTTCTTTCTATTATTTGCATATCTTTAAATTTAATATGTTATTCTCTAATTAGTATATACATTTCAACTCAATGTATTATCCAAAATTATATTATATTTAGAATTTTGTATATATATATTCATTTTCTGCTGAATAAAATATATGTATATTTATCAGTATACTGATAAATTTATAAATATGTAAAGATTTATCATTATGTATAATTCAGTTTATATTATGAACAGCAAAACATTTTTTGGGTACAGTGCTGGTATGCATAAGTTACTGTTTCTTTCTTTGCACTCAACCCATTGTCTTTTTCAAATAGTGTAAGCGTAAAGAATCCGTTCTTCATTTCTCTCATACAGCCCTATCTCATGAATACTTCGAACAACTGCAGATCGTGAAATTGGGTTTCCAGGGGCAGCATATAGCTCACGTGAGAGCTCTGAAGCTGTAATAGACCTGTGTCGTCACGCTGAAAGTGCCCAAATAACGATGTTATGGATCGACCTTGCTCAGGTCTTCTCGATATGGATCCAGTGTCCTGAAACTGTTTTCGCAAACTGTAGAGACACAGGGGGTTACACACACCTCTTTAGCCACCTGCGCTTGTGATTGTCCTGCCTCCAATCTACCGACAATTCTACATGTGATTTCGTCATTCATATGTTTGCGGCTACTCATTTGGTAGAGACATTAGGTATTTTTTGAAACAGGAAGAAGTGAAAAATGAGCAACGCCCTCGCCGGGAATCGAACCACGGACCTCTGAAATAAGCACCCAGCGTGCAGACCACTACACCACGAAGGCACGCTAAGAAGGCGGGAGAAATACCTTATAATTTTACCTGATATCGTATAAAAGTTACCCAACTCTTGCAAGAAACACGGCGAATACCGTGAAGGAGTACGAGAACACAAATCGCTGAAAACCCTTCGAGCGATTATAGCCTTGCTTCATAATCATAGCTTCGCAGACACGCACGTGTACGCTTACGTGTTCGAATATGAATACTTGCATAATTCTTCGACGACATAGTTTTGGTTCAATACATTTTGTAAAAATTGACATAATTCACAAATTGTCTTAATTTTGCACACGAGTGTAGTCAGTCAGCTTGGGACTCTTGGTGTATTTATACCGTTGATTTTCTGCTCGGTTATGACTGTTTTGTACCTTTATTCGAACGATTATGATGATCTGTGATATTCTTAGAGTGTTAAGAATTTTGCTATGTCCTTTTTGTTTCTCTTTTTTTCTTTATTTCTTTCAATAAGATTTTAAGTTTTTCCTGTTCAGCTTGTCTAATTATTTAAGAAAGCTTCAGAAAATCGGTATGCGACAATATCATCATCAATAATGGATAGCGGTACCATTGTTAACAAGAAAAACTTATTTTTGCAGGCGAAAAATGCAGTCACGAAGACGACGTCATAAAGACCCGAGGTGAAGAGTACATTGGTCACTGCCCTTGCGTTGCTGGCTACGATTGCGAACCGTCCAGAATAAAAGATATACCATTCGTGAGTATTTTCTCTGTTTTTGTGTGCTTAGCTTTTGCAGAAGTTGAATTTAACACCATCCTGCTGAAGCATCGCCTAACACAATGCATCTGATATGTTGCATTATATTAGGCGAGATTTTCATGCACGTTTGAAAGATTACATTAACTACACAAGAAAACTCATTTCTAGGGAAAGTTTTAGGTTGTAAATGTATCTGAATAAATTACAATGCAACTTTTCTAGTAAAAGATTCATTTTCTAAGTAAGGATTTATGTCTCGTACAGCAGCAAAATCTGCAGTTGGCATAGATGATAAAAAGCAAGATAGAGAGCGCAACTTAACATCAAATAATTTAGACTGTTCTTAAAAGTGCATTTATTCACATAAGGGTACCTCTTATATATAATACTTATATGTCCACGAGGTTTCGGCTTTAGGACTAAAATGGAAATTTGAAAAACTATAAGATCGATTATTGATAATGAGTAGCTGGTAACAATTAGGCGATCTGCTTTGATACACACAGTTATAAAAATTCAAAACCAGTCACTTTGTTATAAAATAATACACCTGCTTTTATCTCACTTTATCACTACAAAAGAGGGCACTTACCAAGTTACACTGTCAGAGGACTTGGGTTCCTACCAATATTAAGCGCTTTCCTATGCTGATAACTGGATCCTCGCTAACAGCAAAACGGCTTCTTATTAAAAATCACAAACAGCAAAACGGCTTCTTATTAAAAAATGCATGAATTGCAGTTAACTTTCGCTAGTTTGTTAACTCTTTTGCACCTGTTTTAATTTGCATAATATGATATGAGCGAACGTAAGTGACATGAATGAAAGGGAAAAGAAGACAGTGTTTAAATTAAGCTTAATTGTCAATGCAGTATTTACTCTCACGTATATCCTTTACGTATTTTCTCCCTTAACATTTTCAGCATCTGATTTAGAAATTTTTATCTTCGGTAATGACATAAAATATATATGCGGAAAGGAGAGTATATTGTAAGAGCAAAAAATTATTATTCAAATTAATAGCTTTAAAATATAGAATACGGTAATAATACATATATTTATATTTATTTTTGATTCCTATGCTCTTCATGAAAATTTTTTTTCTCTTCAGAAAAGGAATACAGCCCGTAATTTTCTCTTGATTTTTAAGAGATAAAATTAGAAAAAAAAAAAAATAACGAAAATACGGAAGTAAATACGGTAAAACTTTAAGAAATTGTCACATCTTTTAAAGGCTTATAAAAAATTTGGAAAGACTTATTATCACTTCCAAACTCAAACTTTCGCACTTAAAATTTAGTTTATTATTTTACATCTAGCATCATTTTAAGGAGTTACGTTGGAAATTTTAAAATTTTTATGCAAATATTGAATGTTGTGTTGTGATCCATTGTTTAACTCTGCTTTCAGTTCGGAACAGTGAAGATAAATGAAAGGTGTGTGGCTAAGGTGACGCAGCAACCGGAAGTAACCGAGGGGGAAGAGTTAACGGAAGCTCCCAAAGAACCGGAGGAAGAATAATTATTTATTTTACTCTTCATTAACTGTTTACATTCTGTCATTCTAAATGATGTAAAGAAATTCTCTATATTTAAACAAATAAATCTAACAAATGTCGTCCCTCGAGCTCACTTTGGCGATAATAAACACATTTATTTTGTAAGAGTTTCATTAAAAAGTAAAATGACAGTGCAAATATTTTATTGGGAAAATTGCGTGAAGGTTTTATTTCACACACATCGCTTATAATGATATTTGTCAAAAGCTAAAATTAATGACTATTAAATTGCTCATTTTTGATTTTCCTGCGCTTCAGAAGAATTCTCGCATCTCGTAGTTCAACTCGAATTAAACGGGCCGGAAGAGAGAACAAAACCCGCTATTTCTAGGGTAAGGGGAAAAAACATCTATTTAAATACATCTAATTACGGTTTGGCTGTCTCTTCATATCAAGAAATTATCTCCTTATAATAGCAAATTATGATCCAACATTGGATTACAAATACAAAACAAGTATTATAGAAAAAAACTTAAGTCAATTCCTATAAGCTACAAACATGTATTTTTATATTAGTTTCGCATAAGTATATTGTTCATAATTATGATTATTAGTATATTAATATGTGAAAAAACAGTAGTAATATCAAGTGTCATCCACTACTAGTTTAAAAAATGTATTTGAACTTGAGTGGATGAATAAATAGTATTTTATTAGTGATTGAAAATTTGAACAAGATATAGGGAGAGTGTGAAGCTAATAGATGGGATTTAAATAAATAAATAACTGGAAGCTTCCCTCCTCGATGCTAACTGATGAAGTCTACCTTTTTTATATCATCGAATACCATCAGATTCTGTCAAGAGATGGCATCACAGGTGTCATGTTGCAAATTAGCCTATTTGCATATTATTTTTACGTTTCTCTCCTCACGTTAAGGATTCGTGGATTTGGAATAAATAACTACGACACTTGATGAAGTATCAAAACACAATTTATTAGCCAGTATTATTCAATACAGCTCCAAAAACAAACACATTTACAGTTGTCAAAGAACTACTATAAACACTCTGAAACAATCAGCGACACATCCTTCAGGTTATCAGGCTATAACGGTGAAAATAGCTTCATAGCAAAGCACCAGAGTACAGCTCCTGACTCTGCTCGGTAGTTCTCGGAACTCTACGTACTCTCGAGACTCTCCACGCTGCAAGTCGCGATGCACTTGACGATACACTAGAGTACAGCTCCCAACTTGGTTCGGTCGTTCTCGGAGCTCAACACACTCTATGATAAAACTCGACGATACACTAATAAACTGTCTCGATGCACTCGACGACCAATTCGGCTACGAGACACTCGCTCACTGACTTTTAGCTGACTCGACTAGTCACTCTCTGATTGACTACCAACTCGCTCTCTGCATACCAGCAGGTTTTATATAGCTTTTGGCTTGCGTTCGAGAATATTCTGGGCTAAACCAGTAAGAATTCGTTCCAGAAGATTCTCCATCAGTCTATGGCATATCGCTAAATGTGTTTGTTTTAATTAAAATTAAAACAAACACATTTACAGTTGTCAAAGAACTACTATAAACACTCTGAAACAATCAGCGACACATCCTTCAGGTTATCAGGCTATAACGGTGAAAATAGCTTCATAGCAAAGCACCAGAGTACAGCTCCTGACTCTGCTCGGTAGTTCTCGGAACTCTACGTACTCTCGAGACTCTCCACGCTGCAAGTCGCGATGCACTTGACGATACACTAGAGTACAGCTCCCAACTTGGTTCGGTCGTTCTCGGAGCTCAACACACACTCTAATGATTAAAAACTCGAACGATACCTAATAAACTGTCTCGATGCACTCGACGACCAATTCGGCTACGAGACACTCGCTCACTGACTTTTAGCTGACTCGACTAGTCACTCTCTGATTGACTACCAACTCGCTCTCTGCATACCAGCAGGTTTTATATAGCTTTTGGCTTGCGTTCGAGAATATTCTGGGCTAAACCAGTAAGAATTCGTTCCAGAAGATTCTCCATCAGTCTATGGCATATCGCTAATTTTGTCGCCAAATGTAGCCAAATGGACGAATCTCTAGTCAAATGTGGCAACCCTGCCTTCCCTGGGTATTTCCTGGCAACCCTAAACCTGCTCTGCGAGGAAGCTATCTTACCGCGGCTGGACATTTCGTAACAATATTGAACTTTTAATCGCTCACTCTATAGGTGTTTTCTGAGCCTTTCGACGGTATGTATCATTTAAAACATTTCATAAACACAATGCATAATGGACAATTTCTAATCAAACAAGTTCGACACCTCTCAAGCTAAGCAACTATTTTTATTACTATTACTATATAAAACATAACCTTCGACGTATTACCAATCCGGGTACAGCCATCGCGGTTTCCAGCCCTGCGAGCCAACAAATACAAAACATGCTCCTCAAAACCACAGCGGCATATATGAAGATGACACAGACGATAATCTTTCTTCTAATTTGTTACCACGGCTCACTTTTTAAATTAAACTTTTTCTCGGTATTTAAGCTCAATCTCATTTGCATTCTGATGAAAGCTGACGGAAGAAATAGGACGAATCAACATAAAAATAAAATTTTAAACTAAAGCTTTGCATATTTTTAATTCAAATCAGAAGGTTTTGTGCCAATTAAAGTTAATAACTGGCATTAGAAAAACTTTTTTGTTTTGTTAAAGCCAATTGGAAATGTTCATCAAAATTATCAAATGAGCATATTTCAAATGTAATGTACTTAAAATTCCGTCACTTAGATAAATCATTAAAATCAAATTAAAGATCATAAAGACCGTTGTTCGTCAATGGCCTACAGGGTGATGTTCATTTGCGTGGGGTAGCGCTATACATTTGGACGTGTTATTAGAATATAATTAAACCAACGGCCACAAGGGATTATCAAGCCCAAAAGTTAGTGAGCTCTGGAAAGAAAACGTCTCTGAAATGTGCACGATTTAAAAAAAAAATTTTGTTAATGAATTTAAATTATCATTCTCAATTTCTTTTTACTTCCTTGTACGAAGTAAAAAGGAAGTATTGTAATCGCGAAAAGTTTCAGGCAGCATATTTCAACGAAAATATCCCATTTTGACCTATTTCAAATGCAATTTAACGACGTATTTCCGTGATATCTGTATGTAAGGACAGAATAAAACACTCTTTTCCTCCAAAAAGATTATAAAACTGCTTTAAAGTGAATTCTGAAGAGAATTTTTCGTGGCGTCTGTACGAACGTACGTACGTATCTCGCATAACTCAAAAACGAGTAGCCTCAGAACGCTGAAATTTTGTATATAGGACTGCTATAACATGCAGATGTGCACCTTGTATTTTGTTTGCAATTGGCCGCACCAAACGTATATAAATATATTTATATATAGATCCTCTCTGTTACCCGGCTCAGTGATCTCAGTTTCTTTACTCTTATATGTTTGTAAATTGTACATTTTTTGCTTTAAAAATTATTGAATTATGTTGTTCTTATCTTCCGGTTAAGGTTTTTATGCCTTTAGTAAATCTGTATGCAATATTTTTAGATTTGATAGCGGATTTGTTGCCAATCTGGAGAAACGTAGCTTCGCAACAACAAAGATAACGCCTTCTATTATTTATTGTAAGATCATTAAAACATATCCATTCTGGAAATTTATTCGAGGAAAAATAAGTGATTTTAAGATTTACTTCGTAATTTTTAATTATAGATTATTTGAGGTTTTATGTATTTTTGCCTTGTCGCGAAGTGAAAACTGAATTAATTGAATGAGAAATACTCGATCGTCTGTGAAAAACTGTTTCTTTTTTGTTTTCTTTGCTTAATTTCTTTTATACATCGTTGTAGCTTTATTATAGTATTTGAATAGACATGTGGCAACGATTAGATAATTCTTTAAATGATATAAATTTTGTGCATTCTGAGTTATAATATTAACGAAATATAATGCTGTTAAGTAAACCTAGCGGCAGAGTGTCGCTATGGTAAACAAAGTGAATTTTAAAGAATGCATTTATTCTATTGTGGTTTTGCATAACTAAATGCAAAAATCCGCTTATACATAAGACTATTCATATCCCGAATCTAAGTTAAATATTTGAAACGAAGGTAAGATTAGTTTATTGACAGCCAGTATAAGCATTAAAAAATAATGTGATTGTTGCAGTTTCAGAGTTCGCTGGATCAATATCAACTCATGTCTTAAAAAAATTTACTTTTTAGTATTTTCATGAACTTTAAAAAATAAAGGTTTTCGATTTTTCTAAATTTTCTGGAAGGATTTTAGTGTTTCAATTGTAGTGCTTATCTATGTTAATGCTTGAAATGACTTGAGACAACGGACAAAAAAGTTTGACACCAGTTTTGCCAGTGAACCAGGCAAAAAGGTTTGAGAACCAGCGGTTCTCAAATCTTTTTGCCGTTGTAACCTTTTACTATTGCTATTCCAAACTATAAAATTACAAATACAGTTATTTAAATTTAGATTATTTTTAACGTGTTTTATAAATAAAACAAGAAAATGTATAGAAATTGTTGATAAATACCAAAATATTGTAACGTTTCTTAGGTTTATCTAACGATTTATTGTGGTTTAGATCTTCACTATCATTTCTCGCTTCCGTTTCCTCACTAGAATGCTAAATAGATTACTGGGGTTGCTGAGGCTCAAACTGTTAGATAGTAAGACAGAGCGTGTTTCTGCCTGTATGGGCGCATGTTACGTTTCTCCTAGTTCTGGTAGCCGGAATTTCTCGGCTTTGCATTATTTAGTGCCGATATTTGAATATCTACTTTGATTAGGTTTGTGAGGAAATTCGCGTTTAAATTATTTTGTTTAGTTCCTTGGTACTAGTTTATTTAAAGATTAATTAGCTGTTATTTTTAAGTTATCTCGAGATGAGTGCTAGCTGATTGTATGAGTACTAGTTGTGCAATTTTGTTCTACTTTAGTTAAAATAAAAAATGTTCTTTATACCCTTCTCAAGTCTCTGTAGTAAATTTTAGGTTTAGCAATCTTTCGCTGTCAGTCTACCTATAGTTTGGATCCAGTTTATGACAGCTAAGAAGACCAAACTTTTTAATATGAATAAAAGCAGTTTTTTATAGTATGATCAATCA